AATGTTACACACTGGTCATTTAAGGCAAATGTCTTATGCCACTCAGGTTAATTAGCTACAGATGGGATATTTTAATCGATGAACATTAAAAATGCAAATTCAAACCTGAATGTTATGTACAGTGGTCATATATATCCTTAATAAAAGAGTAAGGATTGTAAGTGAATGTTTTTAAGATTTATTAACCTTTGAGCTTAACAAGTCCATGTATTTTATTGACATGGAGCTGACCCTACCTCTAACATACACAAACCCACCGCTGTCCATACTTACATACAGACACACTGATTCACAGTGGTAACAGATACACATAACTTTTATGTCTCTCACTGTCTCTGACTCTCACAGGCTCACACATTCCTTCACTGCACCATCGCTCCATTGTGATACCACTATGCAAGTGCAGAGGCATTAGGAGCTGCGTGACTGAGCTTTTATCAGATATTAGGGCCGTTCAAATGGATGATCCCAGTACTTTGGCGTGACCAACAGACAAAAAGCCCTCTCTTTCTGCCCAGCCCTCTCTTCTCTCTTTTCCTCCCTTATCCTTCTCTGAAAGCACAGCTGCAGTCATTTGTTACACTACCAAAAAGAAAAAAAGTTTTTTCCCAGGATTCCCTGCAGGGCCACATCCTACAGCCTTTTTTGGGTCCTCCCGAAGGAACAGGAAGCCTTGTGGTGTCGTCACATCAGCAGTGTCCCACACCACTGTGCCATTTCTCTTTGTTCTTAGATAATAGGTTCCTCCCAAAGGCACACAGAACGGGAGAGAACCGGTCTCATGTGCCTGGTGTGTGTATCTCTGTGTGTGGAAAAGACAATGACGAATGCAAAAAAAATGCTGCGGTAAACTACTGCTGTAATATGAAAATGTGAATCTTTTTTCTTTACAACTTGAGTTATCTTGTGTCTGGGCCTAATGTCAGGGCACGCAGGTTTGCACGTACACAATTGAGACATGCTGAAACGCTCACACACCCATACTGTAAAGTACGAGAGATAACAGAAGTATATGACAGAGCGCAGGACTCTTTGAGCTCATCTCAGCTTATCTTTCCAATTAATATCTGCCTGTGTGCCGAAGAGCAGGCTGCTGTGTGGCTAATGATCCGGATTACTGCTGCCTGCCGCCCCGCCACTCCCGCTGCATGCTGGGAGCCCAATTCCCTTCGAGGGCTGCGATCTGTCACCCATGCCCCTCCGCACACCCTCCCTCCCCTCCCCGATCTGCGTCTCCCATCGTCGTTCAATAGGAGACACGCTGCGCTCTAATGACAGATGCCTGGCACCTCCCTCTTTCTCTTTCTCATCTGTCACCTTGCTCTCCTGCAGTTGGACTCTCTCTTCTTTCAGACACTTTTTAAACGCCGTACTGCGTCGCCTCGTGCACCCACTCCTCAGACACACACTCACACACCCCCATCCCTCCCTCCCCTTCGTCATTTGAAGACGGAGGAGCCGAGAGATGTCTCATTTACAACCAAGGTGGAAACGCACCCTCACTGTCACCTCCTCCTCCTCTTCCGTCACGGTGTGAACACTAATGAAGAAGAGATGAGTCCTCTCCTGTGCCCCCATTTATCTCAGTGGCCAAGGGACATGCACACTCATCCCTGCCTCTGTCTCTGCCTCTCTCACTCTCCTGTCTCACACTTGCTCTGTCATCATCTGTAACGTGATGCAATGCTTTAATAGAAACATAATAATAACTTAATTAACCAAGATGGTTATTGTTTTTAGAAGTGTCTTTTGAGTTACGTCCGTAGCTTCATGGCTTGATCTGTGGCCTATTATAAGGATGAAATAACTATAAGAGGAATATTTGGATTTCCTTTCCTTAACAAGATAGACTTACTAAATCCCTATATTTTATTATTTCATTTTTTTTATATTTCATTTTTTGCAACATTATTACATTAGCTAGATAAAATACTGTATTGTCTGTTATTTCTATATTTTCATGATTTCACCTTATTTTTCCCAAAATTTAGGAATTTAGTTCATTCAGTGTCTCCTATTGTGCACCACTTGTCAATCAAATAAATGTATTGGTCATATCCTTCTGTAATCTTAACATCATCAAAATAAAGGCTTACCTTGAATCTGTTTATCTGAGGTTTTGATGCACTAAGCATCTGCACTTCTTCACATAGTAAACTTTTAAAGCAATTACACACTCATGTTGAATGTTGAATTTACCACAACAGGATGAACTTTTTCCCTGTAATGTGTGTGGGTTATTTTTAACTTTGGCTTTTTAAAAAAGTCTAAAAAGTCCTTAGGAGGGCCAGTGTACATTTAGATGATAAGGGAAAACCTTACATAGTTCCTATAGCTCTAAAGTGACTTGGCTCTCATGCACCTGCACTTTCTCTCTTTTTTTTTCCCCTTACAGATGACATTTTCAGCCAGTCCCTACTCAGACCCAATCCAGGTCACAACAAGTATGGCTCAGGGGATGGAGCAACCTGAAATGTTGTGGGTTATGGGCCCAGTGTTGGCTGTGGTTCTCATCATCAGCATTGTCATCGCCATCCTGCTCTTCAAGAAGTAAGAGGCTGTGCTCCGTCATTCTTTGTGTTTGTGTGAGGATGAACTGCAGTGACACTTATGATTGTAGGTTTCTTTTGGTTGCATCAGGAATGGTAATGAGACAGGCTCTCCTCTGCCACTTGCACCCAGCTGCTCACAGACCAAACTGTAACATCCAATTTCCTTACCATAATATACACTGTAACAGGAAAGGAACCAAAAGCGGATTGATTTGTCTTTCAGAAAATCCTCATTTCTTCCCAGAAGATTTTGGCCCAGCTGACCGTTTTTAACAGTACTGTGTGAAGTGTCAGTTGAAATGGCAGCTGACATAGCCTCCCTAATGAAAAGCACAGCTTGGCTGTCAAAAACCCTTAGTTAGAAGTGAGAAATGTGTTTTGGCCAACACCATTGGTCATTTCAAATAAGAAACAGAAGGCTGCAACACAGGGCTTAACTAAAAGCTCAGTCAATATCTCTTAAAAGCACTTCAGCTGCCCCTG